GAAATCTTGCCATTTGCAACAGTATGGATGGATGTGGAAGGTATACTCCTATGTGAAATAAGTCAGACAGAGAAAGACAAGTGACTTCACTTGTATGTGGAATCTAAAAAGCAAAATAAACAAACAAGATAGAAACAAATACACAGATCAGACTAATAGTTGCCAGGAGGAAGAGAGGTTAGGGGCCCAGGTAAAAAGGTGAAGAGGTTAATAACTACAAATCGGTGGTCACAAAATAGTTCCAGGGATATGAAGAACAGCATAAGGACTATCATCAATAAGATTGTAATAACTATGTAGGGTGACAGGTGGGCATTTGGAATATTGAGGGGAACAGCTTGTAAAATACATGATTTTCTAACCACTATCCTGCACAGCTGAAACTAAGGCAAAATAAGATTGACTGTGATTGAAAAATAAAATTAAAAAAAAAGAATCTCAATGTCTAAACCATACATAAACATTTTAGGGAAACAAGCGCCCTTCTTTTTAAAGAAGGGAACCTTAACTCTAGAACCTTAAAATGGAAAAGGCCTTAGACATCATCTGGACCAATTTGCCATTTCCCCTCCCAAGAAAAAATGTCCGAAGGTAAGAGAGGACATTTTTCAAAACTGCAGACCAACGATCTGTTCTGGGAACAGAGCATGGGTTCTGGATCAGACAGATCTGGCGTCACATTCCAGCTCTGTCCATCCTAGCTGTCACTTTACCTCTCAACGTCTCTGTTTCTGTACCTGTCAGATCAGTATAACAGAACCAGGTTCAGCCAAGGCTGTTCAGCTATATATGTACCACCAGCTCCTGCAAAGGCAGCATTAAAGTATGTGAAGTGGGTGAGATGAGAAGGTTTGGGGCAGGATGGGTAATGACTTCTACTGGGTTGGGAAAAAAAAAAAAACCACACACACATCAAATATCCGGTGCGGAAGGTTTCGCCAGAGCTCTGAGATTTCGAAGGCCTGTCTTCCAAGACCACACCGGGGTGGGCAGGAAGGAGAGACTGGACGGGTGGGACCCTAGGACCTCCTACCTCACACTCTCTCCTTCAGCCGGAGAAGCTTTGCAGCTTTCTCATTTACCTGTTGGGCTTCTGAGCTCCATCCTCTTGAAGAAAAATATATACAGATATTGTCCTTCAATCCCCGGCAAAAATGCTTGTGGGATTTGCCCAGCCCCTCTCCTGCCACTTCCAGAATGAAGACAAGAGCTTTCTGTCCCTACTCAACAGAGACGGAGAGAAGCAATTCCCCTTCCTGGTGAATGCATTAGAGGTAGAAACAAACCACCCACCTTCTTCTTTGTCCATATTTGAAGCTTTGACTTCTCTCAGGATAACAAGCCTCTCTGACCACAGTACCTTGGAAACTCTCTTCCTGTCACTCACTGCTCCATGTCAGGCTGAAGTTTTTCCTGCCTACCTGTCTTTCTACTGTGGGCTGTGAAGAAAGGGAGAAGGAGGTCGGTTCAAAATGATCTAGGTGTTTCTCTCTCCTCTTTCTAACTCCCATTTGTCCCTCAAATTGTCCTGGCAAGGAGAAAAAGAGGTGGGGCTCCCTCAACACATGGGGGAGGGGGCAAGTGGCTTTGAGCAGCCATGAAGATGCTTGCTGCAAATTGCTGGCTGCCTGTGTTTGTTGGGCTCGGAGACTTGAATAATATTGTGTACTTTATCTTTATAGCCTCTTTTATGCTAACAGGCCTAGGGGTAGCAGAAAAAGGCAATGCACTGTAGTCTGCTAAAAGCTTTGCCATTTGATTGCTTCATAATTTCACCATTCATCTAATTTGTAGTACACATTCATGCAACAAACCTGTCTGTCACCCTTAACAAGCTCTTTGGTACAGACCTGAATAATCTCCCATACTGTAAACAACCTCTTCCTTTGACAGAGAAAGAAAGCACAGGACACACTTTTAACACTCACAGATGTAATTGCTTTGGACATTTTCACCCACAATACTAGATTTCTCAATTCCTGGGATGCCTCCTCAATGGATTTTTTTGAAATATTTTCCCCTATTTTTAGCTCAAAGCTACTTCAAGTACATTTTCTTAGCACCTTCCATGCACAAGCCACCACACTAGAAAATGCAAGAGATAGGACCCTCTGTAAGATCTGGGCTTTGCTTCCTGGAGAAGAGGCCTGCTAGGGTAAAGTGAACACAAGTTTAGGATTTGAGACAAATGTGGTTTTGGCTTTAGTTCTTCCCCTCAGTAGCTGTGTGACCTTGGCAAGTTAATCATCCTCTTCCATCTAAGTTTCCTCATTTGCGGAGTCAAGTCTAGAAATTGCCTGCTATCATTGGTGGGGATCAAATAGAACAATATATGTATGCATAGACAGAACTAACTCTCAACATAAAGTTAGTTAAAAACATTTAAGTACTAAACTATTCTCTGGTCACCTATCCCACCACTAGCCAGTCTTCATAAACATTCTAACACAGATAGACCCCCAGGGAAACAGCAAGTGAGAGAGAGTGAGAACAAGAGAGAATTTACCATCACGTGAATATGGATTTCATTTCAATTCTTCAACTGTCTCCATAAAGATGGAGACCCTTCTTCCATTAACAGAATTCCCTAATTCGTACTATATGACAGCTCACATAATTGGATGGAAGGAAGGATAGAGTGTAGAGCATGCTGCATTTCTGTCAATATGTGCACATTTTCAAATGCCCATAATAATAAAAATGGTTTAAAATGAAGAAAATTCTCAAAAGACATCTACCAAATCACATGGGGGTAATTTAGGGAATGCCAAATCAAAGGCAACAATGCAAACTATGTCTTAAAGTTGACAACCAGTTTGGCTAAATTTTTTGCTGCTTTGACAAGTTTCACTATTTGTTTTTATGTCATTAAAAAAAAACCCAAATGCTAGATTGCAAATGCCATGAGAGTCATGGCCCATTTCTTAATTATAGTCATCAGAAGTGAGTAAACAAGGGAAGATCATCCTTCTAGAATGAGTGAAGTTGATGACAGACAACATTAAAAACATATGTCTTTGTCCTGGCTGCTGTAGCTCAGTGAATTGAGCATGGGCCTACAAACCAAAGGGTCACTGGTTTGATTCCCAGTCAGGGCACATGCCTGGGTTTCAGGCCAGGTTTCCAGTGGGGGATGTGAGGGAAAACCAGACATTGATGTTTCTCTCCCTCTCTTTCTCCTTCTCTTCCCTTCTCTCTAAAAAATAAATAAATAAAATCTTTTAAAAAAAATAGGTCCCTGAATAGCTTCTTTACTTTATGTAAATGTTGATTGATGGTCATTATGTAAATGTTTGAAATGATGAATGAGATATTGAAATATGAAGTAGATAAATATGAAAGTATAAGTAGATAAATATTGAAATATGAAGTAGATAAATTAGTGAGGGAGGGCAAGAACCAAAGGGTAGTTTAAAAAAAAACTTGGTATGTTCTACTTAGCTGAGCCCAGTACTAGGTATTTTAGGGAAGCTAAGAAGCTAATAGAGATATAGGCTTGTTTGTGTGCATGTGTGTTTTGTTTTGTTATGTTTTAGATCTACTGGAGACTACATTTACAAAATGGCATGTCCGTCACTCATACCAGACCAAGAGGTCATGGGGCACAGGGATCTAGTACCTGGGCACAGCGTCCCCAGGGTCTAGAGCCAGGCCCAGTTTTGTAGGAAGCATTTAATTTGGATGATGACTAAGACTATGATGACAGCTATAAGAGGAATAATAGTTGCTGCAAATAAAATAATAATAGTTAACATTAATTCAGCTCTTACTATGTTCCAGACACTTGTCTAACAATATATCACAAGTGTCAAACTCATTTTCACTGGGGCCACATCAGTCTTGCATGTGCTTTCAAAGGGCCGAATGCAGTTTTAGGACCACACAGATGTAATTACTCCTTAACAGTTAAGTGAGAGCTCAGCGCTGCCACCAGGTAGAAACAAGGTGCCAGGCTGGGTAAAACAAGGTGGAGGTTCGGATTCGGCCTGAGAGCCTTGTATTTGCCACCTGTGAATTATATGAAATATATATTTTTTTTTCATTTAATACTTGCGAGCTCTGTCAGTAGAGAAAATACTGTATTTTTCAGACTATAAGATGCACTCCCCACCCAAATTTGAGAGGAATAATGGTTGTTAATGCTGCTGTTGAGTTCTGTTTAGATTTCTATTGGTGAAATATTATGTTATTTATGTTATTAAATATTTTACCACACTTTTGCTTCAATTTTTTTTCTATTTTCCTCCTCTAAAACCTAGGTGCATCTTATGGTCTGAAAAATAGAGTATTCATTTTCAATATTTGCAGCGTTTGGTCTCCTGTCTTTTTCTCTTGATAATACTCGATTTCTTGTCAGTCCTCTTTTCCACTACCAAGGTCCATGGCTGTCTAACTCAGGTGACAGCTAAGCCCCTATGAAAGAGAGAGAGGACACCGGCAGACTGAGGGCAGCCCTCTGAGAAAAGGGTGACAAGACCAATTTTTCGTGCCCTCAAGACTTTGAAGCCAATATCTTTAATGAGGGGCTATCCCCAAATAGAGGGGTTGCATGCAATGTTTATTTTTCTCATATGCTTATGTATAGATTCCAAATATCAAATAGTAAACATGCATTACTTGTAAATATATGAAGAAAAATACTGAAGAAACATTTTAAAGAAAGAAACATGCTATAGTGCATGACATGAATTTGAAGCAATAACAAGCTATATGATGTCAAGACTTATCAGGATCAGTGTCACAAAGGAAGGACAAGGAGTAATGTTATTACCACTGTTGGCCAGCAGTTCCTTGATCTCTCTGTACAGTTTGAGGCCTAATTCTCTGAGCCCTGAACATGGTAATAAAAATGTTTCTTTAAAAGAAAAACAGGACCTCTCTAAGAAGGTTAAAAAAACTGGGATGAAGGAAAATAAGAGGGACAACTCATCAACTGAACTGAAGTGGAGGGAAATTGTCATAAAAATGACACTGACCAGCTGTTCACCATTCCTATTTAGGCCAAAAAGGAAAAAATGATGAAGAAGAAAAAGTCTCACATTTCAGTGAGAGTTTGGTGTCCAACAGCAAGATGACCTTGAAGACACGTGTGACAGACACAGAAAGTCCAGAGCTCTATATTCCTGGAAATACTTAAAACTAACATGAACAGGTAATTCTTTGGGGGGTCTATGAGGAGCCTGCCAAGTTACAATTGTTCAACCCTAACCTCACTCTAGTCAACTTAATCATTAGAGCAGGATGGGAGGACTTAATGTTCTGCAAAACCAACTTTCTTCTGCTGTGTTTGAGTTAATTCAACTGTTAACCACATTAACATCTCACTTATGCAACAGTTGACCATTATTTAGGCTCCTCCAACATGTTCCCTCTGAAAGAAACTTTGTAACAGAAAATATTTTATGATAATATTGGAGCTCTGTTCATGTCTTCTCATGCTGAACAATACTGAAAAATAAAATTATAATTGTACATGGTAGAGTCAGTCAACCGGAACCCATCAAATCAGTGCTGCCAAAACCATGGTATTCTGGTTTCCTTTCAGGGCAGAAATTAAAAGAATATTCATGCCCTTGCACAAATAAACTCAATATGTCTAATTTCCTATAGTTCATATGTATTTAGTATTTATCCAACAAATGTTCACTAAACTTATCACAATAGGCCAAATATTTCTGTGATCCTTTATAATGCTTAAAGAACATTCCTATGTATAATCTTATCAGATCCCTACAACGACATGGTTAACTCGATGAAGAATAGTATCATTTTAAAGATTCTGAAACTAGGGTTCAGAAAAGTTAAGTGATTTCCTCATGTCTATTCATCTAATATACATTAAATACCTAAACTGGGGCCATGTGACTAATCTTTCTAGTCTTTTTTCTATTTCACCATTCTATACTACAGTGTTCATCCTAGAGGTATTTGTAGTATAGTTGGTGACACGCAGTTTCAAAAGGCAAAGAATGTTAACACAAAGTAACTCCATAAGGCAATTTAAGTCACAGAAAGCCATGTGATCAAATGGCTAAATAATGGCATAAGTCACCAGGGTTGCTAGAATTGAATTAGCTAAGAAATCAAGATGGCCAGAGGAATCAAGGCTTGATGAAGAAAATGTGACTTGATATCCTGAAGGATGGATAAAGTTTTGTAGACTAAGAAGTGAAGGGAAAAACTGTTTCAGGTAGAGGGAATTGCAGAAGCACTGAGTGGGAATATCAGTGGGAGGTTCAGAGAGCCAGGAAGAGATGAGCAGGAGAGCAGTTCTTACATCGGTGGGATGTATGGTAGAATTTGAGAGAACTCTGAGTGGATGGTAAAATTAATACTGACCATATATATTTGCTCTAGGTACTTTATCGACCTGACATCACTTATTTCTCAAAATGCTCTAGATATGATTATTGTCTCTATTTTTCCAGATGGGGAACTAAGGTTTTGGCCATGTTAAGCGGTTTGTCTCAAATCACATAGCTGCTTTGGTAATCTGCAAAAAAACACCCCAAAATGTCACATGTTCTGGAAAGAATTCCTCTTTTCAATGCTTTACCTCTCTTTCCAAGACATATAGTCTGTTTATCCATTCCTTGAATCAGTAAGGTACTTGTGACAGAAATAATTTTATATGACTCCTAAGTCTAGCTCCCAAGAGACCTTTGCAGTTTTAGTTTTTGTCAATTGAAACATGACCCTAAAATCACAGTATAAAGCAGCTAGCCTAGCCTCTTGGAGGATGAGAGGCCATGTGATGGAGAACTGAGACAACACAGCCAACAGCCAGTGTACGCTGCCAGAGATGAGTGAGGACATCTGGGACTTTCTAGCTAAATGCAGCTGCATAAGTGAGCCCACGTGAGACCAGCAGAGGAGCCACCGAGCCAACACCATGAGCATGAGAAATAATCATTCTTGTTTGTTGGGGGGAGGAGGTCTAAGCCTAATTCTTTCTATCCTACAAGGCCACTTCCTGAAATTCCGGGCTAGTGACATTGGACATTGTCCACTTATTAATTGGGAACTATTTAAAGTATTTGAGCCATGGGATGAAATGAAGAGAATACTCTTTAAAATAATTGGTTTCTAAACTTCTGAGGTAATAATTAAGTGTTTACAATAACTCAAGCTCTAGCTAGTATTATAAAGATGGTTTGGGCCAAGAATGCTAATAATTGCCTACCTCCATAACTAGTCTTTCCTTCTTTCTTGGTAAAAGAAACCTCAAAATTTTCTAATCTCGTGGACACCCAGAATAAAAGCTACATTTCCAGACCTGCCTGATAGATAGTTATGGCCACAAGACTGACTTCTGGGCATTAAATTACAGCCAAATGTTCTGCGGGAGCTTCTTTTACCCCCGCCACATTTCCACTCCCTTCCCTGATGGGAGCACAGATGTGCAGTCCCACACTCAGCCATGAGCTCCAGTCAGGAAGACAAGGACCACACAGATGCAGTAGAGTTGACGGAACCCTGCATCCCTGATGACCCATGGTGCCACCATTCCAACCCTCCACCTTCCCATTACTTCTATGTCAGAAAAGGGAAACTATTACCTGAGTAAGCGGCTCTTATTTTGAAGTTTGGTCCCATGCAAGTCAGCTGCTACACTGATAAACTAACACAGGGAAGATGCAGAGACAGAAGCCTCAGAGGGCCCTGGGGTCTGCCCAGGAAGAGGAGGTGAAGGTGATGGCGCCGGATGAAAGAAGCTTTGAGTCCAGGTGATTGAAGACAAGATGGATTTTCCCTCTTTTATCTATTCAGTTCCCACGACACAACCACTGCATCAGGGAGCTTTTATGTCATAGGAATTCGTGCAGTCAGTCCCCTCATTCAGCAGTCAGAACCCCACCAGACCCAGGTCCAAACAGCTGCCCATTCCCAAGTGCACCAAGGTAGGGAAAGGCTCCCAGTGTGCACAGGATGGCTAGAGGAAGGCGAGCCATTGTCAACACTTCGTTCCCTCCCTTACTTGAAAATGACTTGCTGTGATCCTAGAAACACTATAAGCCTGCACCACTTCACTTTTTTTTAATGTACTGGGATAGAAAGAAATAATACTCAAGATTCCTGAGACACATCATTCAACAAAAGAGACAAAGACCCCTGTCTTCATGGAGTTTACATTCTGACAGAGAAAGGCCAAAAGAGAACCATAAGTGGGATGAACAACATAAAAATGACATATTATGTTAGTGATACACCCTCTGTAACAGAGGGACAAAGAGTGGTTAGGATGAAGCGTGGCTTCAGCAGGGCTGAGGCGGGAACAACATCTGTCTACTCAGTGAGATCCGTACTTCACTGGAAGGCACGTTAGCTGAAGTATATGGAACTTTCAGGAAAAACTTGGTAAATATTCACAAAACAGATGTATCTAAATTTGCAGGAATAATAGTAAATTCACTCACTATTTTGGGTCACTGAGATAGCCTGAGTGGTCAATCTAAACATGGACGAGAGCTTCGTATTTCCCAGTATAGAAAAAGAAAAACTCTGTAAAATTCACTTTACCAAAAAGTGATACTGTTTGATTGTTAAAATCATATAATAATTATAGTCACTTTAATATAGCTCACATTTTTAAGCTCCTTACTATGTGACAGGCTCTGTGCTAACTGCTTTACAGAGATGGTACCTGAGAGTGGTAAACACCTACAGAAGCACTTTTTAAAGAACAGAAGCAGAAAGTGTTTCTAACAGCAACAAAAGTGTGCGTGTGACTTCTGTGGGTATGTGTGTGTGCCAGCCTTGTAAATACTGGGCATGCTACATGCCCTGGGCACCTAAAGCGTTTGTTAAATATTTAGATGTCAGCTGGTTTAAATGGCATTAACTGAAACTTTTCTGAATATGCTTTGGGAGATGGGGGATGAGTTGTGGTATAAATTTATTAGCTGCCATTAAAATAAAAAGTATTACCATGCACTGTAATGTTCATTCTCACCAAGTGATGCTCAACAACTGAATTTCAGACTGTAAATGTGGTGCACACATTTGTCTCTGAATGCGACTTTGCATGCCAGCTGTTGAAACATTTGTGGGAAGGTGAAAGTTTTGTGGGTTAAGAGATTCCTGTGGCAGGCCTAAGCTTTGTACAGCAAAAGATGTTTTCACTGAAGAGACAAATTATCTCATTCTTAATATGTATGAATTCATTCTGGGTACACTTAAGCAAAACTTATACTCCCAAGAAGAGTCTTTGACAATGGAGAAGATATAGCTGGGAAGGAAAAGCATTTTCTCCAGAAACAGAAGGGTTAACTTAGAAAGGTGGAATTTTGGACAATTCTCAAGATCCTAGCTGACAGTGCATCAGATATTTTTAACCAATTTTTAAGTTGTCATGAAATATTGTTTTTATTTATGGCAGGAGTAAACAGGAACAGACCAATGAAGCAGTTTAATAAAGTACTTATTTCTTTAGCAATTACACTGTTAAACCAACCCCAAGTTGTTGTAGCATAAATCTAAAGCAATCCAAAATTTTAAGTAACTTATCAAAAAGTCAAAGAACTAGTTACTACTAAAGTTAGGATGTGAGCCCAGGACATCTGATTCCAAAGTTAGTATGTTTGACCAGCATCCTTACCAGCATGCATACCACACACAAACATGCTATACATACATACATACCATATATACTTACGTTATGTAGTTGATTGACCACATTAATATTTTACTCTTTAAACATCTAAAACTCTTGCCATGGATAATTTTTGACTATTTTTGGACAGGCAGCCTCTGCTCCCTCCCACAATATCCAGATCTTTCTCTTAGAAACAACTTTCTCTTAAATGAACTTCAAGTTGACTTCTACTCCAGCTTCGAGAACACTGTGACTTCAGTCTTGGCCATAGAACTGCCTTCCCCTGGCCAGAGAGTTGGTTCATGCTTGTGCATGTGAACTAATCTAAGCCAGACCCAGTGAGACATTTTCTGGGGCTACCAGGAGATGGACAGGTTCTCTTTCCACCCGAACATGAAATTGGAAGGAACTAATGCAGTCGTCATGCCAACATATGGAGTCTGAGAAAGAAGCCAGACTTAGAAAAAGCAGAGATAAGTCAAAGATGTTAATGGACCGACTCCTGGGGACTTTTTTGCGTCCCCCAATTCAGCCACGACTAATGCCAGGCCCACCCC